ATGGTTATGTCCACGACGCAGCAAACGGATGTTTTCTGAAATGCAAGTGAATTCCACTCTTCCATCCATGAAACCACAAAGGAGACATTGGATCCTGTTCGTTCCAACTCTATGATTTACATCTCATTTCAAACATCTAACAAATGAAGGAAAAAATTGAAAAATGCCTCATAATGGCAGGCAGTGAAACATATGAAATATTTAACCTACCTAATCTTCAATAACTCTTCCATAGAGTGAAAGATGAAAGGGGAAGTTTCAAGTCGCATGAGTGTGTTTGCACAGTAGCCACAGGGTTTATGACTACTGCGGTATCACAATGGAAAAACACTTAAAGGGGGTGTTCTCTTTTTTGTCAGCATCTCTGACGTTTTTATTGATATTTACAGATGATTCTATAAAAAAACGAGGACAGAGGTCAGTGCCCAGAAGTCTCTCTTTGGTACCAGTCTCATGTTTAACGATTTACTTAATTACCTCCTATGACTGTGGTTATCCACAATTTAAATCCTTACAAGGATTTGGACTCAATTCGAACCAGAGCATATTTCAGATTAAATTCCAATCCATACAATATGATCCTCATGAATTAGACATGATTCAAGATGAATAAATCCCAGACTGTGTTGTATTTACCAAAACGTTTTGACAGTAAGGGAGCCAAGAACTACATCTGAGCGAGTTGTTTTTGTTACTAGAAAATACATATTTGTGTTTGATTTATTTGCTGAAGAGGTACCTACCTTGAAGTATGTAAAACGTTTTCTCTCTACATGTGTTCTCTCTATACTCACCGCTCTGCATTGAAGGTCAACAAATACATTATTCATGAAGAACAGATGCACATTTATTTCCAAAAAGACGAACAGCACAGCTACACGATGTGTATTAAGGAGAACAAATCTCACTTTATGGATCAGAAAACATGTCCGCTGTTGTTATTGTTGTAGAATTCTCCACCGACATAAAAAAAACACCCATATTTTAAACAACGAGTTCAGATATGTTACTGTATTATGTTAAACATGGGAACTATTTCGAGTCGACCTGACTTGCAGTATTCTGGTACCATAAATACTAACATGCACACCGAATGGGCAGATTTACTCCTGTTTATTTGGACCTTACAGAAAATTGAGGGGACATTTTATTCAATCAAGGGGGGAAATAACTTTGAAATGATTGTCGGCCTCAGTCATTCATCTGTAATACTTGGAGAATAAGGATCAAAACCATATTTCCATTTACTGTGAATTGGTCATGAAAGGGAAATATAGAAACGGTATTGTTGCCATTGTGACATTTAAATTATTGAAGTGGTTACAACTGAGACATAGGACTCAGCATGTGACTGTCTGTACAAACAACTGTCATACTATCACCTCAAAGAATTTCAGTTCTACATTGGGTTTCCATGGAGGACATTCTTTGACATAGTTAATATAAAAACATGAATACAGAAGCAATGAGGAACAGGAACAATGAATAAGAGGAACACAGACTGTTATTTTTGGACTCCTAGTGAAATGTGTCTTTCTAAGGGTAGAGTCAATTATAGTTGTATAGTCTATTTAAATAGCTTTTACTTTCCTCCTAATTTTTGTGCAGTTTTCATTCGAAGCTTTTCTTGAACTGTGCTTGATACAAAAAAACAGAACTGTTCAGTGTGCTTGTGTTTGTAAATGCACTGTACGTGTGGGATGGAAATAATCTAAAGGGAAATGACGTTAAATGCCAGACCATGGCATAATAGTATGACAGGGGAACTTTAATTGAAGGGAATTTAATCATGAAATAATGACGAAATGCACTTCTTTAGGAGAGGAAATGCTAAACATCTAAATATAATAATTGTGCGATTGTTAGGCTCCCACATACGGCATCTGACTTTGAGTCACACAAAAGGCAATAGCAATTTAACTTATATGGCATATTTTATCAAATGTAAACTCAATTAGCTTCAGATAACATTAGAATAGATTTCCAGATCATGAAGTATATCTTATCGTGTATCGTATCATATATGGTATGGTATATCGTATCGTATATCGTATATTGTATCGTATAGTGTATATCGTATCGTATATTGTAAAAAATCGTACGTAATATCGTACGGAATATCATATGGTATATTGTCTCATATACACACACACTTAACCATATGTCTGCGACAATAGATTCATACAAAAATAAGGAATAGGGGAAAAAAAGTATTTTCCTAAATTGTGGTAGTGGGTTTGGATCTGTGCATTGGGTATCCCCACTTGGCTCCCACATCACCTTTGACCCCTTTCTTGTCATCACATCAACTTAGACGAAGAATGTGTGGCAGAAAAAAAAGTGGGAGATACGTCAGTGAATGAAATCGTTGAGATGAGTTGACTGTTAAAAGGGAGATTCGGAAAGCAAGTTGGGCAGGTGTTATAGAGGGGGAGTTTTGGTTCGAAAATGGACATGAAGTCAAAATGTGTTTGTGTTGGTGTATGGTTGGATTGTGATGAGAGCAGACCAGCGTGATGGAAAGCGCAGCCGACTGCTAACACAAACACACCACAGGGAGAGAGAAAAGAGGGGGGAGGGCAGGAGGTTAAAAAAGGTGGGGGAGGTTTGATCGAGAAGAAGAGTGTTTTGTGTCAGCTTTACAACGGTGACGGTTGTCATTACAATTCTGATGTTGACCAGTATTGACAGACTCTAGGGAGTATTTACACTTGAGTCCATTAAAGTTTACTCAGCGGAGAACAGATCCATATGTTGTCCTCTAGACCAGGGATAACCCCCCCAAGTGGGGGGTCGCAAGATGATTACAACATTTAAATTGAAAATTAAAACAAATGAAAAAAAACTTTTATCAATTTTTTTTATCAATTTTTTTTGGCCATCTGTAGAATTTTCCGCAGCGAGGCTCCCCCGTTGACAATCCACTAGCGCAGTGTTTCACAAACGTTTTCATACCAAGGACCACTTAACCAATAAAAAAACACTCACGGACCACCTAACTCCACAAATATCCAAAAACAATAGGCCTGCTTACCCAGAGCCGTCGCTGGCCAACTTGAGGCCCCACGCAAAGTTAGATGATGAGGCTCTCTGTTTTGCGAGCGTCGGGGGGGGGGGGGGGGGGGGGGGGGGGGGCACACTAATTGCCCCGCATAAACGCATAGGTGCGCCGCATTTGCGGCTCAGTCGAGGCTCTCTCCGCAAGATGAGGCCCCCTCCGCGAGGTGAGGCCCCACGCAGTCTGCGTGATCATCCTGTAGGGAGGGACGGCCCTGTGCTTACCACTGCAACAGTAGGCTACATAACAGCCTAATAATGACAGCTTAACCTTCTCTATATCGCTCGTTCACACATTAAATCAACAATACAAATACAACTACAGATTATATAAGCATTTAGTTCAAATGCGATTTAAAATGCTCACAGGTTTTACACCTCTTATTAAATGTAGACTAGGCTACATTTATTACGGAGTTTATGTCCGAACCAACAGACTCACAGATCGTTGGCTACTGAGAGATATGCAAAGTACACCGCATGTAGTACGACACAAACCTCCGCTGTGGATTTTCAAAACAAAATACAGTATAGTCGCAGGCCCAAGTTTAACTCTCTGAGGTCTAAGCCATTTTTCACACGTTATTCTCGCCTGGACTTTTTTTTGTAAAAATGCTATTAAAACATGAACCTTGGTGACCATCGGGCTGGCCTGCATGGTCTGCCTACAAAACAAAAATAAAAAAACGTTTATGCAGCCCCAACAACAGCCTATGATCATCAACAGACTTTATGTAATGCTTCATCGGTTGCATATAATAGATAATAATCTCTATCTCACTCCTAAAACATCTAAATCTACTTCCAGCATGGATAAATGTTCCTAAAAGACATCCATTGTGTGTTTTATGCTTCTTGAAATCCTAAAAAAACCATAATTTTTCTAGAACAGATTACAAATTGCCTGAAAATGGTACAACCAAGTGGCAACATGTGTGACGAAGGTGTTGCGCTGGGTGTTGAAACTTAAGCTCGCTCCATTGCGGAGATATTCCCACGAGAGTGCGGAAAACTTAAATAATTAAATGTATTCACTTGCACCCTCCCTGCCACCCAAGCCCAGAAAGAAGAGACTTGTCCCCTGGCAGAGAGTAGGGTCTATGAGTGGAGGGGGGTGGAATCTGGATATGAGAGATGTTTCACACACTTAGAAAACAGTGTGGTGTGTGTTTGCAACATTACCATAATTGAGAGTGACTGCTAAGAGGGCACAGACGGGGAGGTGTTTTGGCACTCCCACTCCAAAATCCCCATTTGACAATTATGTGAATGAATGAGAGGTGAGGCGTAGCTGGCTCGGCCGCAGGATTCTGAGCAACAGATGGGGTCAAACACAGTAGATAAGCGACTTGTGTGAGTGTGAGTTGTGCATAGGTTGGGAATGTTTGTTGGCACATTCGCAGTCACCGTTTAGGCTGCATGCCAAGCAAAACACGTCTACTTTATCAATAGACCTTTACAGGAGACAAGCCTATAGGATCAGGCCAAAGATGGAAGACTATGCGTCTTTTGTCCTTGTGCGGCTGTGTTTTCCTCGAGCTTAAAATGTTGAGTTGTTTAGTAGGCTACCTCTTTGGCTCCTGCCCAGTGGAGCAGCCGGCGAAGCGAGGTTACTCCATGTCATTGGAATCTGTGCACAATGGACTCAAACCCCCTCCTTAGCACCAGCATGTGAACCCCTCTGCAAAAGCTTTTTTCTTTTACCTCCACCCCTCCCTACTCCTTTACACCAACTTCCATCCACACAGGTCCCCACACACAGGAACCCTCAGTGTGCAATGGCTCCCTGAAGAGGCAATATAACATCAATGCAAGGCCATGGTTCATGCTCAACTCCTAGTAGTAAGCACTTTGTGTGTCTCTCTCTATCTCTCCCCTTATTAGTCTCTCTCTTCCCTCCCCTCTCTGAGAGCGTCGTTTCCATGGCAGTCATAGGGGTTATAACAGCTCACTCTCCTGGCTGTCGCGTGGGGACGTGCATGTTGGTGCGCACCGGCGCTGGTGCTCGTGCGTGTAACTCAGCTGGTCTCTGTCCCGAGACGATACTTCACGATCAGCTGTGAGACAGACTGGGGGACACGTCGCACACCTGCGGCTTAAAGGAAATAGATGGAGGGACTTACGCCACATCCGACCGATTACTTCCCCTCCTCTCGTGGTCCACGGGGGAGCGCGTTTATAAGCTGATTTACCCCAGGGGATGTGAATACCTCCCCGGGATTAGAAGGTTATTGGGTGATCGACAATGCCCCGCGTCTCTGTCCGGCACTACCGGCTTTTGTTGGTGCGGCAGCGGACGCAGGACGCCCGGTTTTCCCCGGTTCATCTCCGGTAGCTGCGCAGCCTCTGCTCCTGTGTCGCCCTCCCGGTGTGGATAGGATAATATGACTTCCTGGCTCCGCACATACGGCAGCGTCCCTCTGTGTCTCCTGCTCTTCTGCTTGGTGGTCGCTGTCTGCGCACAACGCTCCAGTGCCAGTGAGTATGGAGGCTCATTAGGGCCAATTACATCATATCCCAGCAATTAGCCTGCATCTGGTCAAGACGACACCAGCTGTGCTTTCGGCAGGGGGTTGATTTTTATTTTTATTTTACCTTTATTTAACCAGGATAGGCCTCATTGAGATTAAAAATCTCTTTTTCAAGAGAGTCCTGGCCCAAGAATGGTAACAGCACAGTTTCAGACAGTTTTACAGTTACAACTGATGGTTTTCAAAATGTTTTCAAAATGTTTCATTTAAAGGACTCTTCAACATGTATTTTTCTTAATAAAGATTTCCCCTCCAAAGAACCCACTTTATGAGCATTTTAGGATTAATTTATGCAATTATGCCATACATCTCAATTAATGCAATTATGGCATATTCAGAAAGACTTTGAAGCAAGCAGCCAGGCTTATAAAACGGTTTCATTTAAAATACATTAAAGCGGTTTTGAAGCGAAACCTCTAAACCCTCAGGAATAGCCCATACCACATAAACCTCTTGTTTCAGCATGTATTGATCAGCTATAATTAGAAGTTAAACGCTTTACCTCTTCTGAGGTTTGCCGCAGGCCAGGAGTGCTAATTGGGTCAGAGCTGCTTGTTAGTGATGCCAGGACCCGCAGCATTTTTCTGTCCTACATTCAAAGCATGTAGCTCACAGAAATGGCTCCAGAAAATTGCAGTTCAAGATATAAATCACTTTAATGAATCATTAATCCCAAAACATAAGGTCAAGGTTCATGTTTCGGCTTTTGTCATCCTGTAAAATCTTTAGTGTGTACATAATTTTTTTCTTACAGTTGCAAAAAAGTATCTTGCATGATTTGTCACTTGATAAATATTAAATGTGTGAGCATGTATCATTTTTTGACTCACAATTAAAAAGTACTCCGTTTTTTTGTGTGGGAGTGGGAAATGATCCATTGCACCACTCCAACAACTCAAGCACCTGTTCCCACACTCACAGACGTTTTCCAACTACACAGCTGACTGAATAGCCTTATGAGATGCTTAGTTGTACTTCTATTATCAAAAGTTGCATGAGATCTCTAAATATCCACAGGGTCAAGACTGTATGTCTAATGAGTGTCGACACGCACATTCTTTCATATGCTAATCAAAGACTCTTCATCCTATTGTATTTGGCTCTCTTCCCTTTACTTTCAACCTCTTTCTCTCAGGTGACAGTGTGTGCTGGTCTCCTAGCATCACTTCTTGTAAAGAGTGTCTCAGCCGCGGACCACAGTGTGCCTGGTGCTTCAAGGAGGTAGGAATGTGTATAAAACATGTGTTTCTGTGGGACAGACTGGGAAAAAAAACAAATAACGTGGCTAACATTCAGCAGCATTCCTCAGATGACACACGAAAGCTTTGATGCCATCCACAGATGAGAATATAATGTGTATTTTTCGGGCTTAGTGGCCTGCCCTATGACCTGTTTGTGTGTGAATGTTTCTACGTGTGCTGTCTCATGCCGCAGAGAGAGAGGCGCTTTCTATCTATGTGTTTAGTCTATGCGCTCACACATATCACTGCATTTGTCCTAAAGTGTGTTGGGGTGTATCTGCTTTCTGGCTTGTCTGTCAGTGTGTCTCGTAAAGAGCCCACCCCGAATAAGCCCTGAGAAGCTGTAAATAATTCTAGCCACACACACACACACACACACACACACACACACACACACACACACACACACACACACACACACACACACACACACACACCACACACAACACACACACACACACACACACACACACACACACACACACACACACACACACACACACACACACACACACACACACACACACACACACACACACACCACACACACACACACACACACACACACAATACAACGTCTAGACCGAACGTCAACATGTGTGTCTTTACAGACTTCAGGTGCTTTCCCATCCTGTGTACCCTAACCTAAACCGACCTCATTAAGTGGCTCACTGGTGTGTGAAAGCAGTCAAACACCACCTCTCTTACCTCCTACACACACAACGTCACAGAGCCAGAATTAGACAAGCACTGAGGAGTTAGAAGGTACAGCGCTTGTTAAAAGGCATGATCACATATTGCCAATGACATTCAGTGTCAAGGGAAAGGGCAAACTCTGTTAGGAAAATCCTGGGAAATCACTTGGCAACTTTATGGTATTCACAGTTTTTACAGGACAAATTATAGCCACTGGGAAAGCAATAAATAAACAAAATTCAATCTTGATAGCAGTTGCTTGTCCCTTGACCTATTTCTGTTAAAAGTATTAGTAATCTCAATTACTGTATCTGCATCATTTCAATCCTTATCTGCAGGATCTTGTTATCATGTCAAACTCATAATCAGGCCCATTACATGCCTTAAATACACATGTTTCTGGTGCAAGTGTTTGTGTTTGTGATCATGTTTCTCACAGACGGAAGTACGAAAGGTCACTAATCCACTCCAAAGCTGCATGACATGACGCTGTTTTACCCGACTGTTGGAGCAAGTAGATGATTAAATAATGTCCTACATAAGAAAAAGCCAATCAGATCATGTAAACTCTTCTCTATCTATCAGAGCTGCTACTTTCATTTAATTTCCCTTCCCTCTGTAATCAGATACGGTGAGATTAGATCCTAAACACGAATGTTTAAACACAAACAAGTCGCTGATACGCCTATACGACACATACTACGACGCAGATCAAAACACATCATAAAAATGACAAAGTAAACCAGGATGAGTGGTTGTGAAAGTTTCCATTTGCTGTGTTGAGGTTAACTAAAAGGTTTCACACTGTACTTAACCGAGTGGGTGAGAGAACCCATGAATTAAAAACTCTGTGGTGCTTGTGTGTGTACTCCTACATATGTAAATAGATGTGGTTTGCAACGTTAAAAGAGGAGTGGGATGCAGGAAATTGATTAGTCTGACCTTAAAATCCTCTTCTTCATCTGCTTAAGTGACAGAAGGAGAAACCGGAAACACATAGAACATAATAACAGAGTATACATTCATGAGGGGCATACAGTATATTTGTAGCTGCATTAGTAGAGAGCATCATGTTGCATTTACTTGACCCACTTTTTGTGTCATTTGTTTTCATCCCTGACTTTTGATTAAGGTTACAACATCTTAAAAGACGGCTTAGTTGTTAAGCTGGCAGGTTTTTCTCCTGTGTGTTTAGTTTTCTGGATCAAATTCAAAATGTTGTTATTGAATTCTGCAATTGAATTATATTAGAAGAAGGTGAATGTCCCCTTTGCCCTTTTCATCTCCTGACCTCGTGTGACCTCTAGGACTTTCTGGATGGAGCGGTGGCGAGCCAGCGCTGCGACCTGCCGGTGAAGCTGCTCAGGAGAGGCTGTGAGCCGGAGTTCATGGAGCAGTCAGAGGTCAAGGTGGAGGTCAACGCCACCACCAGCACCACTCAAGTATCCCCACAAGACATCAGCGTCACCCTCAGACCAGGTAGACCACGGGCTGGATCTGGGCCTCAAATGCATATTTATTATTGCGTGTGAGAAGTCATCTGAGGTAAAGTTTTGAAGTTAATTATGTTCTCCTGTTTTTGTGTGTTTAAAGGTTCCCAGGCCAGTGTAGTGGTGGCTGTGAAGCAGCTGAAGCGTTATCCTGTGGATCTGTACTACCTGGTTGATGTGTCGGCCCTCTATGCAGGAAAACCTCGATCATGTAGGTGTTTATCAGTTTCCGTCAGTGCTGAAGCTTTTTATTAATATTATTTTAAGGAAAAAGTGTTTTTCCAAAGGTTTGAACTAAAGAAAACTAAACACATTTTATACAAACCACTATGTTGTATGAAGGTTAGATACAAGACTTATAAACACAGATACTAGATTAAGATACTGTACCTTCTGTATAGCTTCTTTACATTTAGTATGAAATAAATTGCAGCTGTATGTAAGGAAGACCTTTAATGAAATACTTGCCTTATCTTACCCTCTACCTCTTCATGCCTTTCTACTAACCCTTCCCTTTGTCTTTATTTTGCCCTTGGATTCCCTTTCGGCCTCCACCAACCTCTTCGTTTCTTCTGTGGTCCAGTTGAAGACAGTGGGTGTGGCGTTGTCTCTTCGTATGACGGAGCACTCCTCGGACCTTCAGCTGGGTTTCGGCTCGTTTGTGGACAAGCCTGTCTCTCCTTACATCAATGTCCATCCATCCAAGATCAGCAACCCCTGCAGGTAAGACACACAACAGATGATGTATTGCTTAAAGAAACAGGGTTATTCATTTTCATATTAATAATTGTGTTAATGTTCCTGCTTTGAGAAGAATAGACATTCAACACCTTCAAAGTTTGCCTTGTTATATTTCGAAGCCAACTTGTTCTTCTTTTAATGAGCCAAGAAGAATGGTGATTTGAGTTATTATTTAAAAATTAATTAAAGCAAGCATTAGTTGCTTCCAATTTTGTGTGACTCTGCAAGGAATTTGTACATTAAGAGACAAGAAAGAACAGACAGACTTTTTACATTCATTGGTCCTGAGTTATACATTCCTGAAAGTAGCAATTACAACTTTCTCCAACGTCTCAACAGTGATTATGAGATCCGCTGTCGTCCAGCCCATGGCTTCCACCACGTCCTGGGTATGACTGGAAATATAAGCGAGTTCACGCGTGTGATCAAACGCCAGCGCATATCTGGAAACATGGACACACCTGAGGGGGGACTGGATGCCTTGCTGCAAGCTGCTGTCTGCCAGGTGTGTAAATACAGATGGTGGAAAGCTAGGCTCAGCTATAAGTATGTAAAGAGAAAGGGAGTTAGGAAAAACCTTCAGTTCCCTTGAGGCTTGAATATGTTCTAAAAAAAGAGCCATAACCCCAAATTTGGGAGTTACGTCTGCATGGCCGGTGAAAAGAGGCTTTTATTCTGGGAGATGGTGGCACTTTGACTCAGCATGGATGTTCCCCAGGACATCCACTAAGTAATGACACCACTGCCCCGGGTAATGGCAGAGACAACACCACACAACACACCACACACACACACACACACACACACACACAGCTACACAACAACACACACACACACACACACACACACACCCACACATCAGCTGGTTGCTTGTATACTGCAGGCGGCAGGGAGGCCTGAGTCCACACCAACACAGGGGTCCTGAGTAACCAGCCAGCAGGGAAACACCACGGTGGTCATCACTATAAATAGACTCTCCATTATGTCAGGCCTAATTGTAAACTCACTTGGTTTTCCATGAATACACTGGTGCACAGTGCACACACACACACACACACACACACCAGCACACACCAACACACAACCACCACACCACACACACACACCAACCACACACACACACACACACACACACACACACACACACACACACACACACACACACACCACACCACACACACACCACACCACACACACACACACCACACACACACACACACACACAAACCCTTTTTCTCACACTGACGAACCACAGGCATGAATACAGTGAGTCAGTGACTGTCGGGGTTTTTCTACTGCATGCATTTAATTTGGCATTACAGAAAGAGCTGATCACCACGGGAACTAATGAAGTTGAGATGAGTACAATTTTTGAATTTGCAGTTTCTCACCACATGAGTCAAAAATATAAAGCGTGCACATCAGTCCGTGTAAATGTATTGATATAAGGGGATACAAGTGAAAGAATCGATAAAACTTCTCACCAGCAACAGACCACATCACACGGTCCTGATCTCTCTGTGTCCCTCCTATAGAGAGATTTGGGTTGGCGACCCGAGGCCAAACGTCTTTTGCTCCTGATGACCGACCAGCCGTCCCACCTCGCCCTGGACAGCCGGGTGGCAGGGATAGTGACGCCTAACGACGGCCTGTGTCACCTGGAGAACAATGTCTACACAGGTAGCACGAGGCAGGTGAGATTGTGCAATCAATTGCAGATTAAATATTAGTTAAATAATTCTAACCTAAAGGAATAGTTACACTGAGTTTTGATAATGTGCTTAATCTTTTTCATGCTGAGAGTCAAATTTGAGAAATTAAGAGCGCCATGTTAAAAATTACCAAATTGTAAATCTCTTCCTTGAAGCCAACATGGTTACATGCTAATATACACGCTGTATTTACTCATGTGGACCAATTGATTTTAGAAAAACGTCTGTATATTAAGAAAAGAAGACTTAAACTTGTTATGGTACATCAGAAGGGGAAGAAGAAGTTAAGTGCTTTCCTTAAAAACATGATTTTTTGTATTTAGTCGGTTGTTTGTCTCTTTTTTAGGATCATCCCAGTGTGGGTCAGTTGTCTGATAAACTGCTTGAAAACCATATGTACTTGATCTTTGCCGTGGAGAAGCAGCAGTACAAGTGGTACGAGGTAATCTCTCCCACACAACATCACACATTTTAAATGTCATTCGGCAATTACATGGCATTTCTAGTAGTAATCTGAAACATGTGGGTCATACGTTTTTTTTTACAATGGTTTTTCAGATAGTTAAAAGAGAAACAAAAAAACTTCTAGGACTAAGGAGATGTTTGCTCTATGATGTCTGATAACACAAATGTTGCCCCATAAGTTAACAGTTAGGGTGACTTAGAAAGTATTTATTTTTTTAACCCTCATCTCCCTTTTCTTCTTTAGGCATTGGTGCATTTACTTCCTGGCTCCTACCTGGGAAGGTTAGGCCTCTTCCAGGCTCCAAACCTCATCGAGCTGGTGGTGGACGCATATAAGGTACAGAGCCCTCACCTTCTTCCTCTGCACCTTCTTTCTCATTCTAGTCCTCCCTCTGTTTATTATTCATCCTTCAAACAACAAGGAGAAGGACAGGGACAAGCGAAAGGTTTCAGATTAGAGCGCAGCAGCACAGCATGAGCTGAATTCATAAGCCCACGCAGTATCAGCTATAAGTGTTGAGGCATGAGTCCGCTGAGACAACATGAACTCGACCATAGCTCAAAACACATTCCTGTCAGAATCAGGGATGCGACAGAAAGTGTGTACTGCTCAATTTATCCAATAGATAATGGATGCAGCAAAAGACAGTGACATTTGTAATGCAAACTTAAATTCTGAAGTTGGACATTATTGGACATGTTTTTCGGTTGCTGAAGGCTGAATGAATCTGAAAAACATGGATGAGAACAGTGTGTGTGTGTGTGTGTGTGTGTGTGGTTTTGTTCCATTGGCAGCAGTCTTTGCTATAATCTAGCCTCAGGCACAGTGAACCATTGTTTGCTTCGAGAATCTGCCGAATCCACAGATCCGGGTGAACAACCATGCATACGTACACACACACACACACACACACACACACACACACACACACACACACACACACACACACACACACACACACACACACACACACACACACACACACACACACACACACACACACACACACACACACACACACACACACACACACACACACACACACACACACACACACACACACACACACACACACGCACACAAACAGAAGCTGCCATTATAATTGCTATCAGATCCCCCGCACGGAACCATGTGTCCTAATCCTGGACGAATACATAGATGCTATTTGTGGCCCCACCTTCTTGTTCCCCCTCCCCCCTCTACTTCAGAAATAAAAGAGGGGTTTCTTGGGACGACTTTAATTAATGACTCTTCTCCCTCTCCCTCTCTCGTTCACACTCTCGCCTCATTACCCCCACACAGATTATATGATTACCCAAATTCCCTTTAGACCAGTCAAAAGTTGAATTCCCGGATATCAGGAGAGGAAGTTAATGTTACTTTTGTATCTCTCTGCGCCCTCTCTCCATGCAGAAGTTGTTGTCGGAGGTGTCAATATCAGTGTCAGTGGAGGACAAGGCAGTCAGCAGGTATTGGGTGTCTGTTTCTCCTCTCTGTCCCAATGGATCCATGGTGAAGGACCAGAGCTGCTCGGGGGTGCAGCCGGACCAGACGGTAAACACAAAAGCATAACTTTGTCAGCATCAAAGCACACACTTGATTAAAACTGTGCAAGAATTTAGCTAAATGTTACGAATATTAATACAGAAAATATTTGCTTTAAGTTCCTAGAAACATGTATTGGTTGTACTGGATTGATGTGATCTCTACAGTCTTACACACACGCAGACATTGAGAGTTTAAGATTTGGTAAATAATCCGAGTTGAGCGGATTAAAGGCTGTGTTTAACAGGAAAACATTTCCACGTGATTCTATGAACTATTCGTCCTAAAATCCGTTACTTGCCCAATGTTGAGATCCTTTATGCAATCAAATAGGACATTTATTTAGAAATAGGTCATTGGACATCCACTCCTCTCTTACCGGTTCCATTTATTCACAATAAACGTTGAATATACTGCTTTTCTACCACACTAATGGAAAAAGGCTACTTTCAAAAAAGGATTTCAACCAAATAACTCCCCTTTTGTTACTATTTTTGTTCAGTACATTTGACTGAAGAGTCTTTTTACCCTGTTCTTTCTCTAAACTGCCAACGAGACTCCTCTTCTCCATAGGGGGCTCTTAACTTTCTCAACCACCAAGAAGCTTAATGACTGCTCTGTAAAAACTCCATTGTGCAAACAGGCTGGAGTTTAGCCCTTTAATCCATGGGCGGATTAAAGTGAATTATGGAAAGTACACACAATTACCAGAATAGAGATAAAAAATCAAGTGAAAGGCTTTCTTGTAGATTCAAAGCTTCGGCATGCACAATTTAGTAACCACATGAACAGAGAAATGATTCACATAATGACGTTTCACTTTCGGCTAACTAGGTTGGATAAATAACAAGGAAGTAGTTAAGTATTTTAATAGGTAATAATTGTGTAGTGAGTTTCAAGGGAGGAAATACATTTGAGCCTGCTGCATTTCTCTGCATCCACTACACTACTGTACAGTCCACTATTTATCTTTTTTATTGGTGTGTTGACCTTTCTGGCCTTAGGTCAATCAGTGATGCTCGTCATTAAATAAAGTCTTGGGCAACAATTATCTGTTATCTTTGATTCTGGATTCAAATTAAATAAATAATTGTAATCAGTTGTCAGCACAAGCTTCTACTTTCTGAGATCATTTGCATAAATGGTAATCATTCCTGTTGGTTAAATATGTAGAGACTTTAGTTTACGCTTTAATTTCTTCTTGCCTCGAATAGTGCAATTATTTTTATGTGGGAATCTATCTCGCCTACAGCTTGTTCAAAATGCAGCAGCAACAAAAGCCTCACTGGTTCCAGGAAGAGAATACATATCTCCCCTGTACCGACCTCTTAGCCTCAAGCCTTTTAAATCTGTATAATGCTGAACCAATTTCTATCTTAAGAGTTTGGCGTTTTCGCTGTTGCCATCTTGGTTTTATGCATCGCCCTAAATCCTATCCTGTTTTATTGTATAATGTCTCGAAATGGGGCCATCATGTCTAAAATCAGAACCATTCTGTTTTAAGGAACACTAAAAAGAAGCTAATAAGACCATAAAAGTCATAAGAAAAATGTCTACTGATCTGATCAAGTGAGAATTGGGGTATTTTTTCAATCACAATTATTTTAGTATCGCAAGGTGTCACTCCCTGGATATTTGAGCGAATGCAGGGTTAAAGCATTTTCACATTTGCTCCACTGACCGCCTTAGAGATTCAAATGTTTGTCTTCCTACGCAGGTCTACTTCAATATCACCATCGGGATGCACTCTTGTCCCGACAATGGGGAAGATGAAGATGTAAAAGTGGTGGTTCGACCAGTGGGTTACAACGAATCCACGGTGGTTAGGATCCACTCTAAATGCGCCTGCAGTTGTGGATCAACGAGGCGCTGCAATGACGAAACCCAATCACCATGCAGAGAAACACAAGGGATCACCAATCGGGAGCAGAGGCCGCAAAACGGACTCATTCAAAACTCTGACAGAGATTCAAACTGGAATTGCCGAGCGGATGGGTCTGATATGGACTGCAGTGGTCGGGGAGTGTGTGATTGTGGAAGGTGTTTGTGTGATGAGACCAGGCTTGGGACAGTTTATGGGAAATACTGCGAGAGAGACGACTTCTCCTGCCCGTACGAAGGGGGGTTGATATGTGGAGGTAAATAAGGAACCTCAAAATAATTATGTTTCTACTTTAAATTCAAAGAGATATCACTA